TCATATCAATTTACGTTCATAATCTCTTCAGTTCTCCATTTCTTTATAGTGCCTGTATTAGGATTTGTAGATTCTTAACAGTCCTTATGTTTGTTGGAACAATTTAGATAAAGGTTAGAAAGCTAAATGGCTTTCTAGTACAAAGAGAACAGAATTTGGCAATTGTGCATCTTTCTTCCTTCTAAGCAGTATAAAAGCAGCTCTCTGCAAGTGACTAATGCAATTGGCAAAACTGCCGAATGGCCTCCACTTTGAATAAGAAAAAAAGAAATACTGCATATTTTTGAACAAATAAAAGGGATAAAAATTGAGTTAATATAGTTTTTTTCTGCTCATATGTAGATATTTGGATAAATCTGGTAACTAAAAAGTTCTTTAAAATCATCTTGATGATTGCATTTAAATTATTTAAATCTTATTGAATACAAGTTAAACATCCATAGTTTTATGAATCAAAGTAACTTCTTGTTACTATTTTATTATTTTTAAAACTTTTAAAAGTTTCCTAATTAATTACTTCACATTTCAGTTTCATACTAGCATCTTGCCAGGACAACATGCAAAACTTTTTTTTAAAGTAAAATATTTGGGATTTTTATGTAGAATTCCTTATTTAAATGTAATAAGTTCTCAACTGAAAGCAAATTTTAGGTCATTTTATTTTATTATATGTATGTTTATTGTAGATCTGTTTGTATCTCTGAAAACAATTTTTCTGGTATTATATTTTGATACATTTTGGATTATTTTTATTTTACAGGGAAATTGCTTTTACCAGACAACTTCATGAAAAGGCCTCTGATCTAAGTTATTATTACATGGGATTTTATATTCATTCATGTCCTAAAATGCGATATAAGGTAAGATACAATTTTAATTATTAGAATTCAGCCTAATTGATTTTTCAATACGATTAGGACAGATTTGTATATTCCCAATGTCTCCTGCTTTGCTTGGTCAAAAAGAATTACTCTTTGCTTAGTTGTCTATAAATTGGCTGGTGCTGGGTAAATGGAGAATGAAGACTTATGTTTCCCAAATAGTAGTCCCATGCCATCTATCAAATCTTTTTTTTAAAAAAAAATGAGGGAACTTTAAAAACAGATCATAATAATGGATAAGGATATCGTGTTCAAATGAAAAAGAAAAGTCATGAACATTACATATATCTAAACTTTGAGCATACTTAAAATAATTATTTGGATTCTGGATTTGATAGTCCTCAGCCTAATCTAACAAGGACATGTTTTTATACAGTAAGTAAAATTTGAATGTTGAATAAAGTAAGGATGGCAATTACACTCTTTTATTATTATACTATTTTATATTATTATACTATATTACTACATTATATTATATATATTATATATATTATTATACTATTTTATATTATTATATTATACTATTTTCTTTCCCAGATGCTAGTGTTAATGTCCTATGAGAGGTCTTTGGTTTGGCTAAAAAAGCCCACATCCTTTTAGTGTTAACTGAGCTTTTCTTCAGTTGTTAAAATGCAGTGCTGTTAAAAATGGGTTAGCATCTGCTGACCGAGACAGAATGTGGCCTGACAAAATGGATTTTTAGTGTTCTCTATTCTTTCCATTTACAAATATATTTTTTCTGTAATTTTGTGAAGATCTGATGATCCAAATATTATTAGTTTGAATACAGTCTTCCTAGTTTTGATATCCACGAGTCTGCTGAAATTATTTAAACCAATAAAATGTTGGTAAGGAATTGAAATACGGAGCTTATGAAGTCCAAGGGATTTCTGTTGGATTCCCTAGGAAGATGCTTTTAGTAGATTAAACTATTTATCTAACTAGCTCCACATTGATGACTATGTTCTTTAATTCACATATTCATACATACCCTTCCTCAAGTTTTTTTTAAACGTATTTATGACATACCATGCTAGTTCTCAACCTAATTCAGGAATACAAATTTTTTCTTTAGTGCCTTTTTCTCTTCTTAAATTTTATTTTGTTGATATAATTCAATAGATTTAAAGTATTTTAAAACATAAATACTTTCTTGACTTTTTGAAGAACAAATTTTGGGAATTTCAATATCTTGTATTAATAGAAATAATCCATAGGTCTGTAATAGAGAAGTGGGCAGATAACAGCCTCCAGTAATTTACACTTTTGTTCATTTAGTTAGAATAGTTATAAAGCAACTTTTGAAAATTAAAAGCCATTTTAAGGATTTTAAATTGGATCTGTGGACAATGACAGCGTAGCTTAACATCTACCAGTCTATAGATTTTTAAGGTCAAGGAATTTTCCAAGATTTATTGGCATTTTGTACATTTTCATGCAAACATTTCAGTTTCATTGCCAGTATTGCTTTTGTTTAACTAACTGTTTATCTTCTTGAAAACTTTTACATTAGGTTTGTATTTTTAGAACAAATGATAGCTTACATGAATATATTTCAGCATTCTTAAAAAAGCAGATTACTTCAATAGAATCTTTTAAAGGAGCTTAATTTAGAATGGCAGAAAGACAATAGAAAATGTAATTAGTTTAACAGATAAGCCCAGGTTATTGTCATGAGATAGCTTGATATCAGATGGAGAGAATAGATTCCAAAAGGTTAACAAAGAAATAAAAGGCCAATTCATCTGTGATTAATTATTATATTACTTTGGATTGGCTGTTGTCATAAGCAGAATGTACTTTTTGAACCAATTTTGATCATTTGGGCTTTGGGAGATTCAGCAGCTTGAAAAGTTGTACAAAGGAATTTTAGCAGTTTTAATCTCTTGAGCCCTGGCTCCTTCATAGTTCCATGAGTGTGGAATTTAGTTAACCTTTTTCGCTAAATTAGCTTTGCTGCCTAAGCAGAAATGGAAAACCACAGCTGAACAGAATCCCTACAGGATGTTATTTACCTACGACCTCCTGCTCAAACCTATAATTGTGAGCCTGCCATTGTAACACTGAAAAGATTGCAAATCTTTTGCAAACCCTAACACAATACAGCTTTCACTTTGTATCTTCCCGAAGGATTATTTGGTCAGCATAATTGCATTTTATATTTTAGCTGATTTAAGATGAAAATCAAATGCTTGGCTCATGCACTGATATGTACTAGCAGTGCCAGAGTCCTGTGGCAGCAATGACCTATTACTGGACTGCACAAGCATTTTTTAATGAAAAGCTACAATAATTGTTTTGGAATCCTTCTTGATCACATAATTGGGTGGTTGAGGCACTCAAATGTACAAATGTTCTGTTGCACAACACAAACATTACAGACTTAAAAATTATAATTACAAAAAATAAAATGTTAATTACAGCAACGGAACAATATATCAGTGTCCAACTAACTGATAATCTGGGTGTGGGGAAAATGAGTGTGGCCCTGGGATTTGCCAAAAGTCATTGTTATGAACAGGAAATTATTTTGATAATGCAATAAAATCTGTATTTTGTAATATTTCTTGTATGGGTTTTTAGTTAAATGGCTATGATCTGTCCAACTCTAGGAATGCAAGATGAGTCTCATATAAATTGAATAAATAGATAAAGAAACTGTAATCCCAAAGGTGCTGCTCAAAAGGCAACAGTTGGACTCTCTCGGTTTTTTTTCCCTTAAAAACATTTAGCTTCTCATCCAAAAAGCTTCTTGGATGAGAAGCGAAATGTTTTCAAGGAAAATACCCCCAAAAAAGTCCTGTTGCCTTTTCAATGGCACCTTGAGACAACCATGAGCTGGATGACTGAGAATCTCCATAGAAGGCAAACTGCAGGGTAAGTACAGTAGAAATTTTGCCTGACCTTAAACTGACATGGCTTGAATTCTTTACATACAGTATGAGAAGTAAATGAAAAGTGATGCTTTCATCTCATAACTTTAGATACAATTGACATATTTTAATACATGAACCAGAAAAATAATCCTTGAAATTAGCCCTTTTGTTACCTGTATTTACTTATCATAATCTTTGCCATTAATTATACAGTTCTGCAAATCATAGATAAGCTTCTAAAGCCCGAATGAGAGAACTTTGTCGCTTCAGTCAGATCCTGACAGTCATTTTTGCTTATTTGAGACAAACATATGCCCTCCTCAGAGTATTCTGTTTTGAGAAAAGGTGGAAGTTGCATGTAACAGAATGTATGTATGTATGTTGCCTATTAGATGGCATGTAAGGTGTAGCATTGCCATGTGGCTTATGCTTCTGCTTCTGATCTCAGCTTATTGTTGTTTTGAGTGTTGCAGTCTAAGTTAATAGTAGTGCGAGGTTTAATTTCATGTCCATATGTCTCAAAAAAGCAAGCAATCCTATACTGATAACTTCTCTTGCAAAGCCAGACCACTGCATGTTTTTCCTCAGATTTATTTATTTTATTTTATTTTTATTTATTTAATGTGGCCTCCATCTTCTAATCAATATTGGGTGGCTTCCAATCAAGAGTTAAACCAACATATAAAATCATATTAAAACTATAAAACTAAACAGAAACAGCCATGCCAAATCCTCTTCCCAAGGGACTGTACTGCTGGGATGGCTGGCCATGATGCAAGCCTTGAGGCAGCACTTGAGAATGGCAGCGCCAGTGTCACTGGGATTGAAGTAGAAGCTGGGATAATAGCAGCCGGCTGAGACTGCGGTGAGTGGGTGGAATTCAAGAGGAGTCAGTCCCTTACTTTACTAAAGCTTGGATCTGGAAGGATTAGGTCACGATTGATTTGGATTGGGCTAGGTCCTCACCTAACCAACTGATGAGATTCGGTTAACAATGGCAACTGGGACTGCTGGGATTGCTGTTGGTAAGCAATGTGGTCACATGACATTGTGCTTAATACCTGCATCACTTTTGACAGAAAGTCTAGTCCCAATTACTATTGTTAATTGAAGGCTACTTGTATGTGTCAGAGCTTTTAACATGATAATATTGACTTCTGTCAGAGAATTACAACATTGGAAAGATATTCTATTTAAGGCTCATATGTTATTGTTGGATCCTTGAGGATAATAATGCTATTCTCTACTGCATGGGCCATAAGAAACAGCAACTGGACATTGCATTTGGAAGAGTCCATTGTTTTGTAATCATGGCTAATAAAATATCTTGTTATAATATGGAAGAATTCTCAGATATCTGTCATAATTTCATTGTTGAAAATGTTGAGATGAAATCAAATTTTAAATGTTTGCTTTCTTAAATGTCACCCTTAAACTCATGTAAGATTTCTCGTGTAATTTTTCTTAGATATAGGTTCTATAATATATAATTCGTGATATTCTAACACAGTAGTCTTGTTCCTTTTCCTGTGGTAAAGTTTTCTACAAATCGAGGTTGATTACTGGTGACTTCATATTGTTTACGTCAACAATCGTTAATGGTTGTTGCCTTCTGATATTTAGGGCTTCTCAATCAGACCAACTAATGTGCTAAGAAAATCTTCAGAGGGTTTTCTATATGCGCTATCATTATAGGTTTGATGTGGATTTTTTTCACTGTTAGCTTCCAGATTCTGGAATGCCCTCCCTAATGAAATATGCTTGGAACCAACATTGTCTTTTCAGTATGAAGAAAATATTTGTATATTCTTTTAGGCCATAAAAACAATCAAATATTTTAAATTCAAACTTTTTAGCTCTCATCAGCCAAACATACCCTTCTGAGATTCGAACCTGGGCTGCTTGCATGTTAAGCATTTCTTTTTCCCATATTTGGGCCGACAGGGTGCATCAAAAAACACTCAAGGTAATATAATGGATCTTTTCCCGTGTAAGATTGAGAGTATCTTGGCGACGTTTCGACGAGGTCCCACTCGTCATCTTCAGGCTGGGGTCTTCGGCTTCGTGCCTGTGCGAGCAAAGTGTGATCGGAGCTGCCGTCTC